CGGCCCTTCCTGAGAGGCTACTTGAACAAGTGCAGGGACTTACAGAGACGAAGGCTCGCCTTCTACAACGACAACTACGTAGAGAAACGAAGGTAGACATAGCTACACATCATTTTCTTGGATCACCACCGCACACCAATGTCTAATTCCCGCGGGTCTCATCCGCCTACAGAATACTGATGGCCGCAAGAGACGGGAAAAGGCTGAGGTGCGCCATGGACTACATACTGGAGGCCGAGATGAACGGAGAAATCACCTCAGACAACGTGATCTACATCGTGGAGAACATCAACGTTGCAGGTAAACGATGACTCTGGAATCATTTGCATCGAGACTTGATAGGCATAACGAGAGGCTAATGTTGCGCATGCTACAGCCATAGAGACGACCTTGTGGTCGATGGAGTGGGCGATCGCAGAACTGGTGAACCATCCCAACGTCCAGCAAAGGCTCAGAAAGGAGCTGTGGGATGTGCTCGGAGATGAACCCTTGACGGAAACCAACCTACAGAGACTACCGTACCTGCAAGCAGTCGCCAAGGAGACACTCCGGCTGCACTCGCCCATACCCCTCCTCGTCCCCCACATGAACCTCGAGGAAGCCAAGCTCGGGGGATACGACATCCCCAAGAGAACCAAGGTGATAGTGAACGCGTGGTGGCTGGGGAACAACCCGGAATGGTGGCACAAGCCCGAGGAGTTCCGGCCGGAGAGGTTTTTGGACGAGGAGAAGGAGGTAGAAGCACTGGTGGGCGGCAAGGTGGACTTCAGGTTCCTCCCCTTCGGCGTCGGCCGGCGAAGCTGCCCCGGGATCATAGTGGCGCTGCCGCTGCTCTCGCTCATCGTGGGGAAGCTGGTGAAGGACTTCGAGATGGTGACGCCGCCGGGGGTGGACAAGATCGACGTGACAGAGAAGGGAGGGCAGTTCAGCTTACAGATCGTGAACCACTCCACCATCGCCTTCCATCCGATCGCACCATGAGAGACGAAGTCGTAGGAATTGTTGAGACTTGAGATCAATTGGCCTAAGCAATAAAGTACATACTGTAGTGGTTCGGTTAGTAGTTAAAGTTGAAATCGATGCATGAATGTACTGTAAATGATGTAGAAAGGCCTTTCTTTTTTCTCTTTTACAAGGACAAGAAACTCTATACCAATTCAAACGTATACTAAATTCGTTAATTCAGGAACAAATTCCTCTTATCAAAACAACTATTTCTCCAAGGAGATTTTTATTAGCAACCTATTTTTATTATTTATAACCTCATTTTATTTTTTTAATATTTTAAAAATACCTCTTTACGAACGAATGTAAAGACCTTTGAGCGGTAAGATATGGGCGACGAGCAATGTTTTCCTCTTTGGTGTCAATCGTTAATGTGAATGACATGATGAGATGAACTATGGTATCGAGCGACATCAGACATTAGATCGATGTTAACCAACATTAATGGGATTAGCGATAGCAAGCTCTTTCTTCACTCTAGCAAAAACCACTACTCAATTTACAAGATGATTGCACTTCCTAAACATGACCCATGTTCTAGTTTACAAAACATTCAAAATAAAAATATCCTTGTCTTTGTCTTTCTTCTTAAATTAAGAAGATAAAAAATATCATATAAATATATTAATGTCTTTGAAGAAAACATATGTTTCCTATACTTATAACCTATTTTATTATTGTATTGGTTCATTGATATAAAAAATATTTTTTTAATTCTAATGATCTCATTGTAAGATTAAAATATTGTATTTGTTCATAGAAATCATTTAAAGACTATTATTTGAAGAAATTTTATAGAAGTTATAAGATAAAAGTAAAATGTAAAGTTTTTGACGATCAACTTGTCAAGGTAAAGTACAAGGGTCATTATTACAATACCTTTCATTATATTCATATTAAATTACAAATGCAGACATCCTCTAAAATAGTTATAGTAGATTTAAAGAATACCTATTTTTATTATTTATAACCTCATTTTTATTTTTTTAATATTTTAAAAAATACCTCTTTACGAACGGATGTAAAGACCTTTTTTTTTTTTTTTTTCCTTCTTCCCCTTTGAGCGGTAAGGTATAAGCGATGATCAATGTTTTCCTCTTCGGTGTGAATCGTTAAGTGTGAATGACATGATGAGATGAAATGTAGTATCGAGCGACATCGGACATTAGAACGGTGTTGAGCGACATCGGACATTAGAATAGTGTTGACCAACATTAATGGGATTGCCAATATTCACTCTAGCGAAAACAACTACTCAATTTACATGCTCTATTTTACATATTGGAAAAAAGCCTAATAAATTTGAGATTTGACTTTTGAGGTTGTGTTCTCTAGCTCAAATTTTTATCCGGTATTTTGGATCAATTTAGAAGGTCAAATGTTAAAAAATATTACATAGATCTAAGATATTCCTATGGAAACATGAAAAAATTGGTCAAAAATAAAAAAAATAACACAATTCATAATTAAACAATTCATAAAAATATCAAAAGAATTTTCTAAAATAGAAAACCAATTTCATATATTCGTCTGAGTCCAATTCAAACTTTTTCTAAAAATTTTAGATCATTTACACAGTCATTCAATGCGGTGCATTATCTCTTTGGATTTTGTGCAAGAACAATGCATCTTATATTATGAAATATTTTCTATAGCTGAATACAGCATCTATGTGATGCACTATTAATAATAGGAAATTCTTTTGAATAGTGCATCTATGCGATGCACTATTGTTGACCTATTTAGAAGCTCAATTATGAAAAAATATTGCATTGATGCATTATATTTTTCATAATAAATTAAAAAAAGAAGAAAATAGAAAATTGATACCTTGTTCAAATGCTCAAAAATCTATAAAAATTTCAAAAAAATTCTCTCAATTGGAAAACCAATGACACATATCCATAAGTGTCACATGTAAAGTTTTCTAAGAATTTAAGATCATTTTAAATAGTGTATCCATGTGATATACTATTTTTAAAATTTTCTCAATAATAGTGCATCACCTATTAGGAAAATTTTTCTTTGTATCAAATTTTATACATATATTGTAGGCCTCTTTGGAAGCTCAAATATGAAAAAAAAATATATTACATAAATAAATTATAATTATTATTTAAAAAAATAAGGCAAAAATAGAATAATGTTCAAGAATTTTTTATTTTTTTAAAAAATACTTAAAATATTGATAGTAAAACAATAAGTTTTCATAATACTGTTTAAAATAATAAACATCAATATGACTCTAGAAACCTAGCTATATAATAAACCAAAAATTTAAATTTCCTAACAAATATTTTTATTGAAATTGAGACATACTTAAAATAAAATATTAAAGCTTTGTCGCCAATAATGTTGGTTACCCTATAACTCTAGAACTCTTATTATAATAATGATAAAATAGAAGCTCAATAAACTAGGTGCCATGAACAATATAAATCAACACTCGTAAGTATAATGAAACTTGACTTTAAACATAATGATGCATGAAATCAAAATACTTTAAGACTATAGAGTATATTGTGACAACAACAATCGAATATGTAATAGCCAGAGATAAAAAAGATCGTATAGGTCACATCAATTAGTAAATGTAAAATAGAGATATATAGTGTTCGATAACAAATTGATTATAGTTAAACTATTTTTTTATTTGATTTAATTGTATGTGAACACAAATAAGTTTAAAAAATTATCATTATTTTTTTAAAAAGTAGACATGCTGTCAAGGTAATTTTTAAAGTAGGGGGTGCTTTGTGAGAAAAAGATAAATTATGAATTTTTGAATATATATATGTGTGTATATGTATATATATGTATATATATACAAATATATACATATACATATATGTATACATATACATATATATATACATATACATATATATGTATATATATTTATATATGTGGACAAAATAAGTTTTCTTTGTTATAAACCCTATACCCAAAATAAGTCTCGAGGCTCGTTATCGCACGTGATCCTTTTCCATCGTGATTCACGCGTGCCTCGTGATTCGTAAATCTCGAGTGAAAATTGAAAGGGGCGAGTATGTCATTTCACGTGACCATGTGCATGCATGCGTTTCGTTCATCCGAAGGGCCCCGCTCCCCCGGGGGAGATTCATCGAACCTGCCCGGGAACTCGTCCCAGTGCATAGACAACGGGCATGCGGTCGCCAAAGCGGGAAGTGTCATCGAAACCGAAACCGAGACTTACCTACATCCTCGGGCCCAGGACGAATCGAACACTTTGTCGTGTTCAACGAACGTAGACGCGTCCTCACCCGATTCGGACAGTCTTCAATTTTCGTGCCCGTCGTCAAGCACGAAAAAATCAGCGTCCGGCTCACTGCTACGGACAGTCGTCGTCTTGCGGCGCACGTGACTCCTGCACCGGTTTATCTTTTGCAGACTGAACGCTTCTTCGCGTCACGTGGACGCTGATCTCGCCGCCGTTTATGAACTCCTAAATCGATCCCATGGGATCACATCGTTTGCTTCCCATCACAAGCGCCGATCTCAGATGATCTGATAAAACGTGAGTCGCAATGAGGCCATTTTGGTCATTTGAGTGGCCAGCGAGCGCGATTCCGTAAGTCAAGCATGGGATGGATGTCTTATCATGTCACATGATTTCCATCCCCCTTCGTATGTGGCCATCCGCTTATAAATACCAACGCACCGTCGTCCTCCTTGGAACCCAAAGAAACGGCGAGAACGAAGAAGGGGGAGGAGAGAGAGAGAGAGAGGAGGAGAGAGACGAACGAA